AGGAGGGTCTCTTTAGGGATTGCTGTGGCAGGATCCTGGGAACAAATGGAAGGATCAAATTGGTGCAGTGAGTGTGCTCCATGCCCAGACAGACTTCTCATGTTGAGGTCCTCAGAGATACTGGCCCCAGCCAGGACCCCAGTGGCTGGCTCAGGAAGAATGTAGAAAACATACCAAAGAAACTGCCCTCTCAATCATACCACTGTGGGACCATATTTGCCAAGAAAATGTTTTCTGTATGAAAGAACAGAGGAAATGGGGTTTGGAAGAGCTTTTCTTAGCTTTGCATCACTCAGCCAAGATGCTTATTCCTTCACCCAGATTAGAGTCAATGACTTAGGTTAAGCCAGAAAGAGTAAGGGTTGTATAAACTAGCCAGCACAGGGACTTAGAGGGTGCCTGACTAGTCTGTCAATTTGTAAATAACGTACAGGGTTGGAAGTCAAAAGCTCTGTTTTGAGACTTCTCTACATTAAGGAGGTCCCTTTCTCCAAGAGGTAGTGATACTCTGAAGCATTCATTACCTTTAATATATTTCTCAGTTAGCTTCCCCTATCTCACTTTGGTACCCAAAGAAGCCAGTAGCTGTTGACTAGGGTATGTGAGCAGAGTCCTCAGCAGGTAGTTGATAGGAGGGTCAAGAACAAGATGATTTGAACATGAAATACCATGGATAATAAAGGAAAGGCCAAAGAAATGTGAGTGGGAAAGAGATGACTGCTCCAGCTCTCCTGTCCTATGATCTGCCCCTCTCAACCTTCTAGCTCCCTCTCCTCAACCTCTTCCCATAAAAGGAGTGCTAACACAGAAATGGAGGGACAAAGGGTAAACAAATACAGCAGTGGAACTCACTAGATACTATGTTGAAAATGAACTATACAACTTGTAGGTGGGGATGAGAAGGAAAAATTGGAAGGAGTGACATTGTCCAAAAGAAATGTACTCTTTACCTGACTTATGTAACTGTAATCACTGTATAGTGCCTTTATAATAATTTAAAAAGTTTTTTAAAAGGAGTACTGGCCAGGCACTGATGGCTGTAATCCCAGCTACTAAGGAGGCTTAGATCTGAGGATCAAAGTTTAAAGCCAACTCAGGCTAAGCTGAAAAGTCCATGAGACTTATATCTCCAATAAACTACCAAAAAACTAAAAGTGAGCTGTGGCTTAATTGGTAAAGAACCAGCCTTAAGCAAAAACACTAAGGGACAGTCCAGGCCTTGAGTTCAAGCTCCCGACACACACACATGAGCATACACACAAGAGGAGCTGCTTTGTGATCTCAGCAATTCCTGACAGGGCTGGGGACTAGGAGAGATAACAGAGACAAAACAGACTTTTAGTGTTGAATTTGCCATTTTGGAAATGGCAAAGAGAGACAATACATACTACTAAGACAGAGGTTGAGAGCAGGATAATGAACATGTGAGCCCTGGGGAGGGATGGGAATGCATTCATTCAACCGTGTCCCCTAAATCCTTTTCTACTATACAAGAGAACTCTGACTTGCTTATACCTGTGCCAGCCTGAGCAGCAATCCAAGACACCCTAAGGTAGTGGATAATTCCCCAGATGAACATCTAGCAGATCTGTGGAACAGAGTGGAATAGGGGGTAATTCTCCTCCAGTCTCCTTCTCCCTTTCTCAGAGGTGCCCTCCAAGGTTTCTGGAACAAAATTCTCATCTACCTACATTCCCAAATGTTGAAAACCCTGAGTTTCAGTCTGTTACCATGATTCTTATGACCCAGCCAAAGCACACTTGGTCATTCTGGTCCTGACCCAGGAATTTTCTGGATCAGCCCCTTGGGAGTGTGTCTTGATGTGTGTCTCTTCTGCAGAAGTGGCAGTCTCACTATCCTCTGGCCAAGACAACAGATATGACTGAAATGACAGGAGGTGTCCCAAGCCAGTGTGTCCAAAACTTAGAAGTGGGCTATTTGACCTTGAAGGAGGAGGGCAATCTCAGGGCTTTAATGGAGAGTAGGTAGTGGTCCAGATAGAAGACTAGTCTAGCTGGGCACCGGTGGCTCACACCTGTAATCCTAGCTACTCAGGAGGCTGAGATCTGAAGATCACAGTTCAAAGTCAGCACAAGCAGAAAAGTCCAATTCAAAATGGAAGTAGTGCTGTGGCTCAAGTGGTGGATAACTAGCTCAGGGACAGTGCCCAGGCCCTGAATTCAAGCCCCAGAACTGACAGAAAAAGGAGGAAAAGGAGGGAGAAGAGTTTGTTCTCCCAATGATAAGAGCAGTCATAGAAACTCATAGTAGGGTCCACGTTGCAACAATGAGAAGTACAAGTTGTCATGTCGAAAACGAACTTTACAACTTTGGTGGGGGGGGGGAGGATTAGGTAGGGGGGCGGCGGGAGGCTGGGAAGGGATGGGAAGGTAAACAAAGGAGGAGGCTACAATGCTTGATAAGAAATGTACTCGCTATCTTGCCCATGTAATTGTAACCCCTCTGTACAGTATTTTCACAATAAAAAAAAAAGAAACTCATAGTAGGGTCCAATATTTTTATCCTTGTAGGGAGGTGGCAGGCAGAAGTTGGCTATGAGTATGTCTTTGAATTGTAGTTCTTCTACTTCATGATGGAAATTAAAGATGCTGTCTTGCTATAGGGAGGGCACAAGAGTAGTCTGAACTGGGTTCTGGTGGCTCATGCTTGTAATCCTAGCTACTCAGGAGGCTGAGGTCTGAGGATCAGTTTAAAAGGCAGCCTGGGCAGGAAAGGCTGTGACTCTTATCTCCAATAAAAACCACCAGAAAACCAAAAAATAGCACTGTGGCTCAAGTAGTAGCATGCTTACCTTGAGCTGAAGAGCTCAGGGACAGAGCCCAGGCCCAGAGTTGAAGACCCGTGACCAAAAAAAAAAAAAAAAAAGAAAAAGAAAAGGAAGTCTGAAATGCTTGAGCTGAGAAAGAAAGTGCAGAAGCCAATCATTTCTTGCCTTTCATTAGCTAGGACACCATGGCATATCTCTCTCAATCAAACCACTTTGAGGTATGCATGGTGGTACCTGACTATAATCCCTGCAGTCAGGAGAGTGAGGCAAGAGGATCTCAAATTTTAAGCCAGCCTAGGCTCTGACATAGTAAGACCCTGTCTTAAACAAAACAAAACCACCCATTTGGAGGAGTGTGGCCTGTGGGCTAGATTCACCCAGGGAACACTGCCTGGGTTGGAATAGGATACCCAAGCTGCAATAGGAAAATAGCAAGTGGAGGGGATGCTGTTATTTTCTTCCCCTATTCCATGGCAGCCCACTCACCTTAGTCCTAAGGGACAGCTTCTGTGTCAATCTATCCAGCCTGGACTGGCCTTTTTTTATAGGCCTGGAAGTCTATCCTTGGCAGCCTTTGGCTTGTGTGTGGCTTTCAGGAGAGGAGAGAGGAGGACCATTGCTGCCTTTCTCCCTTATATCCTTTTCTAAGGATGACACCTGGAAGTTCCCTGCAATGCCATGTCACTATCCCATGAGTTTTATCCAGGTATAAGTCTCAGGAAAAGAAAGGAGATATGATTGCCAGCAGAGGAGTGGCTGTTAATGTTCTACCTAAAGCAAGAATACCTATGTGCCCCCAACCCAACTAGTCCAGAACTCTGGATCCCACTTCAGGGACATCAACCACACAGACTGTTTGATCTTCAACCCAGAGGCCCAAGTTTAAACTTCTGAAGACATAGAGTAGGGTTTGGGTTTTCACTTAATGACAGGCAGGAAGCCCTGACAGGTGATCACCTATGTCTGTAACCTGAACCCCACCCCTTCACTAAGCACCTCTCTTCTGCCCTCTGTGAACTGGGCTGGGCTGTTTGTATTTCATTCACTTCAGTATTATTTGCTTCTCCAAGGTCCCAGCTTTATTGTGCACAGAACAGTCAACAGTCCAAGCCCAGGGCTGATTCAAAACACATTTTCCTCTTTTTGTCTAGCTCAGCATAGTCTAAACTTTGCAGATCTCACCACCACCACTGCTACCTTTCAACACCACTACCAGCCAGCCCTTTGGCCTGGCTCACTCTGCCCAATGCCCAGATTCTCCTTGGCTTCCAAATTCCCCTCACTCAGAACCCCCTTGTAACCTACAGATAGAAAGGGGGTCATCCCAGGACGGGGCCCAGGAGATTGGGTGTCACAGTCCTACACTGGGAGCCTACTGTTTAGGCCTCCAAGCCAGCTATAATTAGCCAGGGGGGGAGGGAGCACTGATGGGATACCATGTGTTCCCTTTGTACACTGCAGTCCCAAACAAGAGCAGGCACTCAAGGGAGAGAGCAAGCAGAAGGCTGATGTCTTGTGAGAGGGACTAAAAGGAGGGAGAAAGATGGGAGGGATTCAATTCTGAGTACTGGATCCACAGTACACATATTTCTTAGATGCTTTGCTGTACCTGTAAGACCTAATGGTTGGAATTGAATAGTGCCCACTACTCCAGTCTTGGGTGGAGGTAGGAAGGTGGCAGAGGAAGGAGGAACTGACTTCAGAGAGTTGAAGACAGTGTTCTTCTGGCCTTTCTGGGTGTAGTAAGATACCTTTCTTTCTTGCCTACTCACTTGCAGTAAACCAGCAAATGTTGGCCATGAGCATTCCCCAGGCAACACATCATCAGTCTGACTTGGAGTGCACCTCCCTTCCAGTGCAGAAGGATTGCCTTGGACTCCCTTTGCCTACAAGAAGAGCCCCTTCCTGGCCGCCTTCCCCTGGTGAGGACCCTGGGTTACTTCCCTTTCCTTTGGAAGAGCCTGGCCCCAGACCCCTGGTCCCAGGTACCCTTGCCTTTCCAGCTCTGTCCCTTGAGGAAGAGGAGCAGGATGAGGATGATGAAGATGCAGCCCAGCCTGAGGAGCTGCGCAGTGAGAAGCATGCCAGCCAGTTCTTTGCAGAAGCCCTGCGGCTGCGGGAGCAGAGGCTGTTGCTGGATCAAGAGGTGTCAGTTGGGGGAAGAGTATATGGGGTACATCAAGTGATCTTGGCTGCAGTCAGCAGCCTCTTTCAAGGCAGGCTGAAGAATGCCAAAGGTCCACAGCCTTGCTTCAGCCTCAATGTGACCCCAGGGGGTTGGGAGGCCTTGCTGAGCTTTGCCTATGAAGGAGTCCTAGGCCCTGCCTCACGGAATGAAGTGCTGGCTGCTGCTGAAGCACTGGGAGCACCCCGAGTGAAGGCTGCAGCCCAGCCTGGAAAGGTGAAGAAGCTCAGCCAGGCAGAGGAGCTGAGGGAGAATCTGCACAGCATTGAACTCCTGTACCAGGATGGTATTGGGTGTGACCTGGAGCTGGAGGCCGAAGGCTACCGGCTATGGGGTGAGCCTATGGGGTGTTTGTTACATTTCTGCAGATGTACATACCACTGGGATGTTGTGTGCAAGTTGCAGGTGGCTTGATCTCTGCCATAGCAGGGTTTGTTTTTGTTTGTCTGTTGCTTGTGGAGTGTTTTGTTTCTAGTTCTGGGGCTTGCACTTAGGGCCTGGGCACTGTTTCTGAGCTTTTTTTTGCTCAAGACTAGCACTCTACCACTTGAGTCATAGCTTCACTTCTGGTATTTTAGTGGTTAATTGGAGATAAAAGTCTCATGGACTTTCCGGCCAGGACTGGCTTCAAATTGCATGCCATATACTCCTACCTGCTTGCTTGTTTTGTTGTGGTGCTGAGGATAGAGTCCAAGGACTTGTGCACACTAGGCAATATCACTGAGCTACATCCCAGCCCACCCATACTGGTTTGGATTCTTTTTTATTTTTGGGGGGGGGTCCAGTCGTGGGGCCTGAACTCTGGGTCTGGGCACTGTCCCTCAGCTCTTCAGCTCAAGGCTAGCGCTCTACCACTTGAGCCACAGCGCCACTTCCGGCTTTTTTCTTTTTGCTTATGTGGTGCTGAGGAATCGAACCCAGGGCCTCAGGCATGCAAGGGCAAGCGCTCTACCACTGAGCCAACTTCCCAGCCCCCTGGTTTGGATTCTTGTGGCAGTAAGAATTCCCTGAGGTGAAGGTTAGTGCCTCACCAGCACATGCGCAGTTGAGTTGTTTTCCTAGGCTCACTGACAGATTTAAATTGACCCTTCAGGCCCTGAGCATTTTCCTGCTCAGTAACTGGAATTTCCAGCCAGCTGGCTGAGTTAAGGGTACAATCCATGGCAATAGAACAAGCAGAAAGTGATGGACTCAAGCAAATTGATCCAAGGCTCCTCTTAGAATCTTCTGTTCAGTACACAGCAAAAGGCAGAGAAATGACTTGGAAAACTCCTAGTGTGCCCTTTTACCAAAATACCTTCCACACTGTGGTTCTGCAGTTCATGACAAAGTCTGGTGTCACCAGGTCTGGATGCAGTTCAAATAGTATAGAGGCAAATGATAGGCCTGAGATTCAGTCCCCATACTGCAAAAAAAAAAATTACAACTATTAGTCCAGGCACTTTAGTTTAATTCTGCTCATCACTGTCCCAAGAAAATCTAACATTTAGTGAAGTAACAAGTATCAGGAATTTTTACAGATGACATCTCTTAATTCTCACTAGAAGCAATGAGGTGGATACCATTGTCCTTAGGAGCAAATGAGGAACATTAATCAAACTCAAAGATGATTTAATGATGGGAACCAGATATAGCCCACATGCATTAGTCTAGTCTGCTTGCACTAAGCCATACATTGCCTCCTGAAGTTACACCAAGACATACAACTTGTGACACATACAAATTTAAAGTCATAAGCATTACTTTAAAAGTTATCTAGTTTAGGACTTACGTTTTACCAATGAACAAATCAGACTCTAAGGCATGTCCAAGTTGGGCACCAGTATAATCTGACTTGTTCAGGAAGCTGAGATTTGAGGATCTCGGTTCCAGGCCAACCCTGGTAGACATATCCAAGAGACTCATCTCCAATTAACTAACAAAAAATGAGAAGTGGAGGTATGATTTAAGTTGTTCAACACCAGCTTTGAGTGAAAAAGCTAAGCAAAAACTCAGTATACTGGTTTCAAGCATACTGGATTCAAGCCCCAGGAACACCAAAACAAAACAAAACAAATGAAAAAACAAAACAAAACAAAAACAAACATACTCAAAGCCAAAATGTTACTGTTACTATTCATTAGAGTAATGACTGGGAACCAAAGAATTTCTGGGATTCCCAGAAAAAATAAAATCCCAAAGGTTTTCATTATCATTTCCTATTGAACCAGATAGAGAAATGGTCCTTTCTCACTAAAATTTCATAATTATAAATTTCTCCTAGAATTTGAGATTTAAACATTCACATCAGTATCTTGGAACCCATTACTGAAACTCTTAGGAACAGAGTATATAGAGCTTGTTTTCAGGAATGTAGATTTTCTCAGACAATATATAATGAGAAACTATCACTGATGTTTACTTTGGGGGAGGCACATGAAAATTTATATCAACATGAATTACCCTTTGAACAAGAGCCATATGTGTCACAACTGACCAGTCTCACTGGCAGCTTGGTCCCTGCCTGAGGGACCTGCCTGAGGGCTCCTAGCAGTATTTTCCTTTTTTTTTTTGGTCGGTCGTGGGCCCTGAACTCAGGGCCTGGGCGCTGTCCCTCAGCTCTTCAGGTCAGGGCTAGTGCTCTACCACTTGAGTCGCAGTACTATTTCCAGCTTTTTCTGCTTATGTGGTGCTGAGGAATCCAACCCAGGGCCTCATACATGCAAGGCAAGCACTGTACCACTGAGCCACCTTCCTAGCCCTTCCTTATGAAGTGTTTCAAACATATAATAAAGAGCTGGGCACTGATTCCTGAGACCTATAATTCTAGATGTTCAGGAGGTCAAGATCTGCGGATCGTGGTTCGAAGCAGCATGGACAGGACTCTTATCTCCAAATAATCACAGAAAAAGCCATACCTGGCACTGTGTAGAGTATGCTAGCCTTGAGCAAAAGGAGCTCAGGGACAGCTCCCAGAGTTCAAGCCCCAGGGCAGGCAAATAAATAAATAAATGTAAAGATTCAAACACTTGTTACATATACGTAGTAGTATCCCATTATATTTATTTCATCTTGTTATTTTGGGCTGAAGTTTAATGTAAATTAATGACATTTCTCTCATTTGGTGCCTTAAAAAGTTTGGGCTGGGGATGTGACTCAGTGGTAGATTGTGTACCTAGCATGTGCTAGACCATGTTCAGTCCCAAGCCAACAAATAAAAATAGGAACAGCCAGGTGCTCAGAAGGCTGAGATATGAGGATCACAGTTCAAAGCCATCCCAGAGTCCATGAGACTCTTTTTTATTTTTTTTAATTTATTTTTAATTTTTTTGGGGGTCTGGTCGTAGGGCCTGAACTCTGGGCTTGGGCACTGTCCCTCAGCTCTTCAGCTCAAGGCTAGCGCTCTACCACTTGAGCCACAGCGCCACTTCCGGCTTTTTTGTTTTTGCTTATGTGGTGCTGGGGAATCGAACCCAAGGGCCTCAGGCATGCAAGGCAAGTGCTCTACCACTGAGCCACCTTCCCAGCCCTCCATGAGACTCTTATCTCCAATAAACCACCAGAAACCAGAAGTGGTGCTATAGCTCAAGTGGTAGAGCCCTAGCCTTGAGCTGGAATGCTGAGGGGCAGCACTCAGGCCTTGAGTTCAAGCCCCATAACAGACAAGAAAAAAAATTCTTTTATTTATTTATTTTTATTTTATTTTATTTTTTTGTTGGTGGTGGGGCTTGAACTCTGGGCTTGAGTGCTGTCCCTGCATTCTTCAGCTCAAGGCGAGAGCTCTACCACTTGAGCCATAGCACACTTCAAAAAAAATTCTTTTAAATTTATTTTTGTTGTTGTGTGTTCTGATACTAAGACTTGAATTCAGGGCCAGGTTGCTCTCCCTTAGCATTTTCACTCAAGGATGTCACTATACTACTTGAGCCACACACCTCTACTTTGGGCTTTTTGCTGGTTAATTGGGTATAAAAGACTTGGACTTGTCTGTCCATACTGGGTTTGAACTAAGATCCTGAGATCTCACCCTCCTGAGTAACCGGATTACAAGCATGAGCTACCAATGCCAGACTTGAAACACAAATTCCTAGGGCCTCCATTCATACATACTTACTGAATCAAAAACCCTCTGGTGGGTCCATGAAAGCTGTATAAATGTAGGTATGAATTTATGTATATCTATTGTGTGCTGGAGATGGGCCTTAAAGGACTTGCACATGCTCCCGAGACACTCTACCACAAAGCTACCTTCTCAGTCCTCAAAACTGCATTTTGGTATGGGAATATGGCTTAGTGGTAGAGTGCTTGCCTAGCATGCATGAAGCCCTCAGTACCACATATACAGAAAAAGCCAGAAATGGCACTGTGGCTCAATTGGTAGAGTGCTAGCCTTGAGCAAAAGAGGCTTAAGGACAGTGCCCTGGCCCTGAGTTCAAGCCCCAGGACTGGCAAAAAAAAAAAAAAAGTCTTGAGCAGTTTATGCTGGGCACCAGTGGCTCATGCCTGTAATCCTAGCTACTCAGGAGGCTGAGAGCTGAGGATCGATGTTCAAAGCCAGCCTGGGCAGGAAAAGCAGTGAAACTCTTTATCTCCAATAAACCACCAGAAAACCAGAAGTGGTGCTGTGGCTCAAGTGGTAGAGCCCTAGCCTTGAGCTAAAGAGCTCAGGGACAGCTCCCAGGCCCAAAATTCAAGCCCCATGACTGACAAAAATTAAAAACAAAACCCACAAAAACAAAACCCCCCTGCATTTTAACAAGTTGGGCACCAGTGACTCACACCTGTAATCCTACTTACTCAGGAGGCTGAGATCTGAGGATTGAGGTTTGAAGTCAGCCCAGGCAGGAAACTCTGTAAGGCTCTTCTCTTCAATCCACCACCAAGGTCCAGTTGCGGCTCAAGAAGCAGAGCATCAGCCTTGAGTGAAAAAGCTCAAGGACAGCTCCCAATCCTTGAGTTCAAGCTGCAGTACCAACATAAGCTCGTGCATGCACATGAGTGCACTTTCTCTCTCTCTCTCTTTCTCTAAAACAAAATCCAAGTACCCTGTGATCCTACAGTGCATGCCATAGTTTTGGCCTGTGGTCTTGGGTGGCTGGGTCAAAGTTGGGACTGTCACATCAGTACTATGTCTAGCAGTGTTACAGAGTCCTCTGCTTTCTCCTCTTCTTGCAGTTCACCGAGCAGCGCTGGCCTGTGGTAGTGAGTTCTTTAGGGCCATGCTCCTTAGTGGGATGAGGGAATCCCAGGGCACAGAGGTGTCTCTGCGTACCATCTCTATCCAGGACCTGCGCCTGCTCGTCTCTTTTGCCTACTCTGGGATTGTACGGGCACGATGGCCAGGACTGTTAAGAGCTGCCCAAGCTGCCTTGCAGTATCAAAGCTCTTCTTGCCTGGATCTGTGTCAGAAAGCCTTGGCGCGAAGCCTCAGCCCTGCCCGTTGCCTGGCCCTTCTTCCCACGGCCGAAGCCCCTGGGTTGGAAAGGCTCCGGGGCAAAGCTCGCCACTACCTTCTGACCCACCTGCCTGCCGTGGCTTTGTGCCCCACTTTTCCTTCTTTGCCAGCTGTCTGCCTGGCTGACCTTCTGGACAGCGATGAGCTACATGTGCAAGAGGAATTTGAGGCCTTTGTGGCAGCACGACGTTGGCTAGCTGCCAACCCTGAGACCCAGGAGTCAGACGCGAAGGCCCTGCTACGATGTGTCCGTTTTGGCCGCATGTCTACCAGGGAGCTTCGGAAAGTGCGAGCAGCTGGGCTACCCTCACCTCTGCCCGCAGACCTGCTCCATCAGCTGATGGTTGAGGCTGAGATTCCAGGTCAAGAGCGGAGAAGGGAGCCAGACCGAGCACTGGTGGTGATTGGTGGGGATGGGCTCACTCCCGACATGGCTCAAAGACAGCCATCTCGTAAAGTGTGGTGGGCCAGGGCCTTCCGCTGTGGTATGGGACTGGTCCGCACTGTGGAGTGGGGGTGGCTGCCTCCTCTGCCTGCCCCGGGGCGCTTCCGGCATGGCGCTGCCAGCCTAGCAGGATGCGAGCTCTATGTGTGTGGAGGTCAGGATTTCTACAGCCACTCTAACACTCTGGCTTCTACTCTCAGGTAAGATTGCCTAACAGAGGGCAGGGCAGGGCAGAGCAGGGCAGGGCAGGGCAGGGCAGGGCAGGGCAGGGCAGGGCAGGGCAGGGCAGGGCAGGGCAGGTCAGGGCAGGTGAGACAAATTGTTCATGAAGCCAACCACAGGCTCCCAGACTCATTCTTCCTATCTCTCTCTCCCACTGTGTCCAGGTGGGACCCCAGTCAAGAGGGCTGGGAAGAGATGGAACCTCTTTGTCAGGCAAGGAGCTTTTTTCCTCTGGTGGCATTGGATGGACAACTTTATGCCCTGGGTGGACGAGACAATGGTATTGCCCTTAGCTCTGTGGAGACCTATAACCCTGAGCTCAATATCTGGAGGTAAGCAGGCAAAGGAGAAGTGGGGAGAAACTAGACTTCGGAAAAAAAAAAGAGGGTTGAAGCTGGATGTAATCCTAGCACTCAGGAGACTGAGGCAGGATCTCAAGATTGAGGCCAAGTCTGGGCACTGGTGGGTGGCTCATGTCTAATCTTGATTACTCAGAAAGGCTAAAATATGCTAATCTAGGCTCAAAACCAGCCCAGGCAAGAAAGCCTATAAGACTCTTAATCTAGGGCTGGGAAGGTGGCTCAGTGGTAGGGTACTTGCCTTGCATGCAAGAGGCCCTGGCTTCGATTCCTCAGCACCACATAAGCAGAAAAAGCCAGAAGTAGTGCTGTGGCTCAAATGGTAGAGTACTAGCCTTGAGCTGAAGAGCTGAGGGACAGTGCCCAGGCCCAGAGTTCAGGCCCCACAACAGGCAAAAAAAAAAGACTCAATCTACAAAAAGCCAGAAATGGAAGGGTGACAACTGGTAGAGTGCCAGTCTTGAATGAAAAGCTCAGGGAGAGCACCCGTTCCCTGAGTTCAAAGACCCAATCGACACACACACACACACACACACACAAATTGAGGCCAGTCTGGGCAACTAAGGGAGATCAGAAGAAGCTGCTACTTACTGATATTGTATCTTGTCCTCTCCTAGGCCAGCACCTTCACTGCCATCACCATGCTTTGCCCATGCAGCTGCTGTCTTAGAAGGCCAAATATATGTGAGCGGTGGCTGTAGTGGCACTGGACAATACCTGGCCACACTGTTGCACTATGATCCCACACTTGAGAAGCCAGAGACACTTTTGAGTCCTATGGGGGTACCTCGGGCTGGCCATGTTATGGCTGCTGTGGGTGGGCGGTTGTATGTGGCAGGTGGGCTAGGGGAGACTGGGGACCTGCTGAGCTTTGAAGCCTATGAACTGAAGACTGGTAGCTGGACTCACCTGGCTCCTCTGCCCTCCCCCCATGTGGGGGCTGCAAGTGCTGTACTGCAGGGGGAGCTGCTGGTGCTGGGGGGTTACAGCCACCGTACTTATGCCCTCTCCCACCTTATCCATGCCTACTGCCCTGGTCTAGGCCGATGGCTCTGCCTAGGGACTCTGCCAAGACCACGGGCCGAGATGCCTGCCTGCATCCTGACCCTGCCTACGGTGCAGCACATGTCATTGATTCCTACTGGGCACCACACCAAACCTGCTGGGTAAACAGCAGGATTTGGGGAGGAAGGGATAAAAAGTATCGAGAGGAGCTGGGTGCTGGTGACTCATGACTGTAATTGTAACTAATCAGGAAGCTGAGATCTGAGAATCACTGTTCCAAGCCTGGGCAGGAAAGTTTATGAGACTCTTATCTCCAATTAACCAGCAAAAATCCTCCTGCTTCAGTCTCTTGAGTGCTGGTATTACAGGTGTATAGCATTATGCCTGGCTTCTTTCTGGTTTCTTTCCCTCCCTATAGGTACCTGAGGATATCAGGAGTAGAAATAAGACCGTTATGGTAGGAGGTCCTAAGGTGTAAGAGGAAGTGCCCGAAAGAACTAAATATAGAGAAAATTCAGAAAAACCCTTTCCTTGTGTCAGTCCCTTTCCTCTAGGGTTATTTTAAATCAGTTTCCATTTTCTTTTTTTGGGGGGGGGAGTGGGTCTGGTCATGGAGCCTGAACTCTGGGCCTGGGCGGTGTCCAGGCTAGCACTCTACCACTTGAGCCACAGCGCCACTTCTGGCTTTTTTCTTTTTGCTTATGTGGTGCTGAGGAATCGAACCTAGGGCCTCATGCATGCAAGGCAAGCACTCTACCACTGAGCCACCTTCCCAGCCCTCAGTTCCCATTTTCTTATTGTAAGGTCTGCCCTGGGAAGCCAGGGAAGATTCCTCCCTCTTGGCTAAGCCTTGGCCCAATAGCTGTGTCATCTAGTTAACTGGCACACCTGGAGACAGTCACCTCCCCCTTCTCTGAGGTCCTGGCCTAGGGGTGGCTAACCCCTTTATTCCAGCTACTTGCACTACCAACTTGGCTGGAGGCCAGCCAGCAGTTTGGAAACCTTTATCCCTGCCTAAATACCATGTGGTGTTCTCATTCATTGGCAACCTATTTAATTTGCCTAACATTTATTATATTTCAGTGTTGGTTTTTTTTTTTTT